CTCTTTTACAATTTTGCAGTTGGGATTATTCTTTATGTACATTTATATATGTCTTTTTTTTAACTGAGCAATGTAAGAATTTCCCCTATTTATCTCCAAATCTTCATAAACCTATCTTTTAACTTGAAAAATACTTTACTTTGCCACTTCCCTACTGTTGACCATTTAGATGGTTTCCATTATTTTGTTCTTAAAGCTTTTTTTTCCCTGAACTTCTGATTATTTCTGTAGGATAGATTCCCAGGCACAGAATTAATTACTGGGTCAAAGGATATTGACATTTTTATGGCTCTTGATATTTCGCTACTGAATTGATTTTTTAAAGATCTGCCCTAATTTACATCACCTGGCCAAACACATGCTCATCAGTGTTTGATATTGCCATTAAAAACGAGAGATCATTTGCTCATTTTGTGGGTTATAAAATAGTGCCTCATTTTAATGTGGTACTATTTTATATATATTTGATTACTAAGATTAAATTTTTTTCTAGGATTTAAAAGGGACTATTTGCATATCAATTATAAGCGTATGTCTTTTACCCATTTTTCTACTGAGATCCTAGCTTGTTTCATTAAAGAATTGAATTGCATGTGCCCTTATAATTTTTTAAAATTCTATTTATCATTTTTGAGATTTAAAAAATTTTCCCTTGGACTGGGCCCTGTCCAGGAAGGGAGCTCCTAGATGCAGCAGAATTTCTTTGACTGGTTCTCACCAGCTTTCCTGCTCAGACAGGTCCATTTCGTGATGTCCAGATTTACTAGAATGAAAGCCTGTGTGACAAGGATTGGGGTTGTTCACTGGTTGTTTAAATGTGTCCACATCAGGCAAAGGTTGGGCGTTTGCTGTGTCTGTGTGCATGTGGTCATCACTTCTACAGATGGAGATGTTCTTAACAAAATTTGACTTTTTTAAAACTTCTGCAGAGGTGTTCTTTTGGGTATAAAAACAGTAAAAGCATTGATTTATATATATATTTGGGCTAGAGTGCTGCCAGATGCTGGATACTGGCTGAAGGGCCAGTGAAGACTGCAAACTCATGGGCCACTTGTCAATCAGAGCGAAGAGCTAGCGTCTTAGCCAGAGGCCCCCAGAGGAGCGCATTACACATGGGCTCGGTCTACATATGGTGACATGAAGGGTTGACTGGAACTTGTCACTACTAGTCAGCATGAAGCATCCCCATGCTCCTCTTCTGTGATTCAAGGTCCCCAGACACCCCCTAACAGATGTCCCCACCCCTTTCTTGATGACCTGACCCTGCACTGTAGTGACATTGTTCCTCTCTGGTCAGGACAGTGCAATGGGACCTGGAGTGGGAGGAACTAGGCTCAACCCAGTGATAGCACCTCAGTTTTAACTGCGAAATGGGCGAAGTCATGTTTTTCTCACTGTATTGTTGAGAGGTAGATGAGACATGGGAACCTTCATTACACATGCGCGGAGGAAATTTCAGTTTCTAATCATAACTGCTACGTAGTCTGTACCCCGCTAGACTCTTTCCATAAACGATGCCATTTAATCTTCCCTGCATGTCTGGGGAAGGTAGGCATGGTGATCTGCATTTCAGTCGAGAACCTGGGGCTTAGAAGAGATGCACCGACTCGCCTGAGCTCACGCAGCTATGGAGAGGCAAAGCCAGGATTTAAAGTCAGGTATTTCAGGATCTAAAGTCGACATTCTTTTCCATTGTATCATATTTTTTTCCTTTCAATTCAGGCCCTGTACATAAACAACTTAGCTAAAGGTAGTCAACATTTTGTTGAATTTACTGCAAAATAGTGAAGACTTAGGAAAGTAAACTAGATGGGATTTTTTTTGCCTGACTGATTACATGATGCCTTTAGTTATGTTCTACTCTGTACAGCTATCAGGAGCTGGAGATCACCCAGGGTTATAAAGATGAGAGTTAAGCTGAAAAGTTAATCCATGGAATTCTCCTTTTAGTTACAAACTCGCCTACTTTAAGTCCCCAAATCCTTCTGCCTTTTGTATTTAAAAAAAGTTTGCGGTTAATGGACAACTCTGTGTTTTCTTCTGACTTGGTGATAAAGACTTCGGGCTGTCAGCTGAGGTGGGGAGTTTTGCGTCCCCTCCCAACCCCTTTCTCTATGTCAGCCACATTGCTTAGGCCCCTGCACTTCAGCGTCTCCTGAAAACGTTGGCATTTCTGTAGCTTTAGCCTGCCCCTGAAACAAAATTCGAATCGTCCGTCACTCAAGGTGCTGCCGAGGTACGTGCAGCATCAGCAGTAATGCAGAAGCTTTTTAGCCCGTGGGGTTTCTCCTTGAAGGGTGGGGGACAGGAACCAAGCCCTTCTCCCCTATCCTTACCGTCCAGCTGGTGGGGATCAGAGCATCTAGCTCAGAAGGACCACCTTGCAGTAGCTGAGAACTGAAGACCCATGTCCAGCCCCACACCCGGAGGCTCTGACTTTATTGGTCTGGGTTAGGGCCCCAGCACAGATATTTCTAAGGCCCCTGGACATGTATAACGTTCAGCAGAGAGAGGTGGTCAGTCACTGATTTAGTCCAACCTCCTCCTGACCAAGATCCACCTCGAAAAAGTGAATTTCCTAAATCACACAGCTGTTGAAGTGGCCGAGCCAAGACCAGACACCAGGCCTTCTTGCATATCTCACTTAATATCCCCTCCCAGAGCCACGGCAGCAAGGCAGCAGACAGCAGAGATGCCTCCTCCTCACCCGGGCTGGCCTCCGCACCTGCCTGCCTGCCCCCATGCCCTCCTCTTCACCCAAACACCTGCGCCTCAGTCTCCCCCCAAGGCCCAGGCTTTGTCTCCAGATGGCCAGGAGACGTGACCTGACATTAGTCTGATGAAACACTCGATGCAAGTGAACGCTTGGAAGGGGAGGCTTCCTGGGAGGATTGCAAACCAACCCGAGGCCGCTTGTTTTTTCCTTCACTTTAATGCCCATGAAAACCACCTGCAGAGCCCGAAAGAAATGCTAGTTCCTCTCATATGAAATTCTGATCCCGTGTGTCTGCGGTAAGGCCCAGCCATGGGCATTTCAGCAGTGACAGAGGAACCCTGCATAAATCCCCCAGGTGCTGGCACGCTACAGGCAGACCCTCATCACACCAGGAGCAGGGTTCCTGGAGAGTTTGAGCACTTCTCACTGCCCCGCCCCATCAAACACACACACACGCACACATACGTGTACACATGAGTGCACAGGTGCATACACGTACATATGTTGTTGTGCAATAGGCTCTCACCTGGGCAGGCATGGACCCGGCTGCAAGGTCCTGAGCTCATTTCCTCTCCCTCCAAGCTGCCCCAAGCCAGGCCTCCCAGGGTGACTGGAGCTGAGCCTTGCATCCGGGCTGGGGCGGTTGCTCACGGCGTTCCCCCTCTGGAAAGGCCTCCACTGCCCACGCTTCAACCTGCACTTGAGAGGTGCTTACAGAGCTCACCTGTGCCTTCACCCACAGAAGGGTCTGCACAGCCCCATGCCTTCCTGGGTCCTAGATGTTGAGATCTGGCTGGGGTGATCACAGGTGAGGAGCATGCCTCTCAGGCTGCTGTCCACTCCCCCAGCTCTGTGACTCTCTCTTCCTCATGCCCTCTTCATCCCCGCTCTGGCCCTTTGCAGGGGAGACACTTCATCCCCTCTGCCCTCTGCTTCCTGGATGATCTCATCCACGCTCTCGCTGTTTCT